GCAGCAGCTGCTTTCCTGCAGGAAGCGGATACGGAAAGACTAGTCTGGGTAATGATACCCGTCTCTCAGGTGAAGAGATCTGGAGGATAGACATTCCCAGGTAATATATAGGAGGAAAACAGGAAGGGTGGGTAGAAAGGGCGCGACATTTCGAAGCGTTAAATGGAATGTTGTTCTCTATGGACCACTGATATAGACGGTCGAAGTCCGTTTGAAGTGCGTAGGCATCGTCCGGAGCGTTGATTGTGCGCCACAGCTGAGGTTTCACACATCTAGCTAAAGTGTATTACAATGATAATAATGAGGGTTGGAACGACAGAAGGATCCTATGTGCTCTTTTTTGAGTGGACCGTTGAGCCAGGAATCCATGAAATGGTGAGAGTTCTCGATGGATGTAACATGTAGCAGTCTGGAGATTCCCCGGTTTGCTTGTGTAAAATTCTAACCAAAATTCTATAATTGTACACTTAGGCAACCGGTGTGGTTTGTTGAACTGCTTGCTGAGTTCGAATGCTTTACTTGCTCATCGCCATTTTTGCTTGGCGCTCGCTTCGGTTGCAACGCGCGACTGCTCTGTGTGCTGTGCTTGATCCGTTCCCCTAGCTAGAGCGTCCACGGTGTCGTTCATTTATAGCTAGCTAACAGGGAATCTTTTGCTGAACCAATAAAAGTTTCCCTGCAACTCGATCCGTCTTCTCGAATCGCTCTCTGGGCTCCCGGAATAGGCAACCCTCTAAATTGGTGACCCCGGATCCGGAACAATCTCAACGCCGGATATTTAGAACTTTTCTCCGGTGAGCTCGTTCCATTTATTTTTCATATTTTCCCGTTTATTTTTGCATACGGTAGCCTATTTTTTCGCGTTATTTTTTCAAATCATGGAATCTGTAGACCATAAGGTACAGTCTATGCTTAGTGTTGTATCTCTCTCTGTTCCACCTTTTTGGGACATGGATCCTGTTTTGTGGTTCGCTCATCTGGAGGCTGAGTTTTACAACCACAGAATCACTTCTGACTACGCGAAGTACTGCAAGCTCCTGTCCTATCTCCCCAAGGAGATATCAATGCAGGTTCGTGACGTCATCATTTCTCAGACCGAAAACCGCTATGAGGCTCTCAAGGAAGCCACGATTAAGCGTGTTATGCCCTCTGAGAAAGTTCGCCTGCAGCAGCTTTTCAGGGATCTGCAATTGGGCGACAAACTGCCCTCAACCCTGCTACGCGAGATGCAGCAACTCCTTGGTTCATCAACCATGGACGAGACTTTACTTCGCGAACTATGGCTACAGCGGCTACCGGAAAACACACAAGCGATTCTCGCTACAGTGAGCTCCGTTCCGCTCACTCAACTAGCAGACTTAGCGGATCGAGTTATTGAACGATCACAGCCACAGGCCAACGCCAGCAAGGTCCATGCCGTCGCGTCCCAGGGCACTTCTATCACTGGCTTACAGTCAACTATAGAAGCCCTCCAAACACAAGTTGCGACACTTAGTCGCCAGGTGCAACAGCTTACTATGACCCGTCGTCGTCCTAGCCGCTCAACATCGCCCTGCAAACGTTCTAAGTCTAGAAACAGGCAGGCTAGCTGTTGGTACCACCAGCGTTTTGGTACCGCAGCTCGTAAATGTGTCAAGCCTTGCAACTACGCCGAGCAGCAGGGAAACTGCTCGGCCGGTCCGTAACGGCGACGGACGCGACCGGCCAACACCAAAGTCGCCTCATCCGTGTTAGGGATTTAACTTCCGGCACCGAGTTTCTAGTCGACACTGGTGCCGAAGTTAGCGTCATACCCCGTAGCTCAGATGAGGTCGTCTCACCATCGCCGACCAAGCTGCGTGCCGCCAATGGCACACCAATCGCAACTTTCGGCGAAAAGCTGTTAACGCTCAATTTAGGCCTCCGGCGAACCTTTCGCTGGCCTTTCATAATCGCTGCTGTGCCTTTCGCCATCATAGGCATAGACTTTCTTCAACGCTTCGATCTCATCGTCGACGCTAAACGGAAGAAGCTTATCGATTCTAGGACACAGCTCAGTATTATCGGGACTAGCGCCAACGTGGCTGCTATCACTCCCATTCGTGTCCTACCTCAAGCTTCACAGTCTTTTCTAGAACTTTTCAGCAAGCACCCTAAACTCGTTCGCGTCCTGAACGAGTTGCCTCCGGTGACGTCAAACGTCACGCATCACATTTGCACTAAGGGCCCACCTGTTTCGGCCCGCCCTCGCCGACTAGCCCCGGACAAGCTCAAAGCTGCGAAGGCGGAATTCGAGCAAATGCTCGAACTGGGAATCATCCGCCCGTCTAAAAGTCCATGGGCATCACCATTACACATGGTGCCGAAGAAGTCCGGTGACTGGCGCCCCTGTGGTGACTACAGGGCACTTAACAAACTTACCGTCCCGGATAAATACCCTATCCCGCACATGCACGACTTGACCTCAGCTCTAGCTGGCAAGTCTATCTTCAGCAAAGTCGACTTAGTCCGTGCGTACCACCAGATACCTGTGGCGCCAGATGACATTGCTAAAACAGCAGTCATCACGCCATTTGGCTTATTCGAGTACCTCAGAATGCCTTTCGGCCTCAGCAACGCTGCTCAAACTTTTCAGCGTTTCATTCATGAGGTAACGCGAGGACTCGAAGGCGTTTATCCTTATCTAGATGACATACTCATCGCCAGCTCTTCTGACGAGGAGCATCTTCGTCACCTCGACGCTCTCTTCCAGCGCTTAACACAGCATGGGGTTACCGTCAACCCCGATAAATGCGAGCTTGGCCAAAGCTCCATCGACTTTCTTGGCCACCGCATATCTGCCTCTGGTATCGAAGCCCTGCCAGACAAAATCCAGGCACTGAAGGACTATCCTGCTCCCAGTTCCTTCAAGCAGTTACGCCGATTCCTTGGCCTGGTCAACTATTACAGACGCTTTATACCTAACTGCGCGAGCATTGTTCAACCAATGACTGACTTGCTCCGCGGTAAACAACGGTCTTTTCACTTTGCAGATGACGCTAAATTGTCTTTCGAGAAGCTTAAAGACGCTATCTCCAACATAGCGCTTCTCGCCCATCCAGACACGTCTGCATCACTCTCTTTGACAACTGACGCATCAGACACTGCCGTCGGTGCAGTTCTTCAACAACTCATCGACCGTCGATGGATACCTCTAGGTTTCTTCTCAAAGCGCTTACAACCTGCCGAATCGCGATACAGCACCTTCGGTAGGGAACTGTTAGCTATCTACCTAGGTATCCGACATTTCCGTCACTACCTCGAAGGTCGACATTTCACCGTCTTCACCGACCACAAGCCATTGATCTACGCAATCAATGGCGCAACGGACAAGTACTCGCCGCGGGAAACTAGACACCTAGACTACGTTTCTCAGTTTACGATAGACGTACGTCATGTCTCAGGTGCTCTTAATCCCGTCGCGGATGCGCTTTCACGCATTCAGCAGATCAGCTTATCGCCTGGCACCAACATTGATCTAGCCGCTATGGCTGCTGCCCAACAAGCTGATCCCGACATCGACAAGCCACGACGCAACACCACTGAGACGATCACCATTGATCGACTCAAGCCAGCATTCTTCGACAAGTCTGACTCGCCGGTGCAACAAGCACCTTCACAGCCTGTGCCATCACAGCTGGCACCGCAACCTCAGACGAGTCAGTCCGCTCCAGCAGAACCGACAACCTCAACCGACAGCACTCCTACTCGCCCTACTCTCAATCGACGCGGTAGGAAACTCAAGCCTCCAGTTCGTTTTTCAGACTTTGTCAGCACTTACTATTTTACGTAGAACGTGCCTTAGAAATTTTCTGCTCTTACTAAACGTTTTTGAAAATCCACAAAAAAAGACCAAAACGTTTTGAAACTACCAAAAAAGAGCAAAACTTTTTGAAAACCCAAAAACAGCTTTGCACGTTTTTCGCTTTGCACTCTTTTGTGTATTGCTATGCATTTATGCTGCTTTTTCATTTGCTTTTCATATACACCCCGTCGGTTGGTTGCCCCTCGGTTTCACTTTCCGCTGGATCTCCGCACGTCAACTGGAAGTTCAACAATCTTCCTGCTCAATTGCCTACGTGAACTTTATTAACTGTCCCCCCTACAAACAGTTTTTTTACCGTTTCGACACCGTAGGGAGGACACGGGTGGGAGCCCGCTAGGGTCCGATTGCATGGTTCTCCCCCAGCAGCTGCATCGGGTTTCACAACCTGGTCTCGCAGAAGGCTGGCCGGCGACGGACAGTCCTCACGTAGATCGAAGGACTGCTTACACAGTCCCTTCTGGGAGAGGGCTATGTAGCAGTCTGGAGATTCCCCGGTTTGCTTGTGTAAAATTCTAACCAAAATTCTATAATTGTACACTTAGGCAACCGGTGTGGTTTGTTGAACTGCTTGCTGAGTTCGAATGCTTTACTTGCTCATCGCCATTTTTGCTTGGCGCTCGCTTCGGTTGCAACGCGCGACTGCTCTGTGTGCTGTGCTTGATCCGTTCCCCTAGCTAGAGCGTCCACGGTGTCGTTCATTTATAGCTAGCTAACAGGGAATCTTTTGCTGAACCAATAAAAGTTTCCCTGCAACTCGATCCGTCTTCTCGAATCGCTCTCTGGGCTCCCGGAATAGGCAACCCTCTAAAAACACGGAACACCCGGACCAAACCCCGGTCAACCAATTACCGTCCACGATTTCTGCACTAACGATCCCCGCTGTGACAGTCCCGTGAAGCAAGAGAAATTGAAGGCACAGAATAGAGAAGTCCGCTTGAACTAAGAGGATAATTCTAACGCACGAAGGAAAGGAAAGATAACAGAACTATGAACGGGATTTTTCCTATCGTTCTAGTACTACTTGAACTTGATGGGTGAGCACTACCAGTGTCAGAACTCCGTCCGAGATTTGCCGTGTCGTGACTTTTTCAGACGGAAATCGACATGCCAACACTCGTGATATCAGGGTAAAATAAACGAACAGAAAAAACCTTACCGGGAATCCTTGGATCCATCTTATAAAGCCAACACCAACGGTGTGAATAAAGTCCATTCAGCTGCGCAAGGCGAATTAAATGGTTTTCGCAGGACAGTTTGCGGGTCGATATACTGTCAACAAAAAAACACTGCGACGTTTGTTGCAGCGCAGTTGTAAAATGCGTCCGATCAAGGATTCGGAGGCGTTCTGTGTCCGGTCTGTAAGTAGGTCATAAAAGACTTGGAAGGGGTGTAATATAAAACAAATACCTCGTAGAAGCTGGATCTACATATCATAACCACATAGCCGCTGGACCGCTAGGTTCGCGAACGGCGAGATCACCGGATCCGTATCGTGGATAAAAGTGATAGGCAGTGTTGCTATGGTACAGCAGCCATGTTCAAGTTCAAGTTCAAGCGGGACTGGAACGATAGGATTATCCCGTGCGTGTTCCTTCTTCGGCGGGTCGTTGAACCAGGAGTTGGCGAACTTTGAAATACTGATAGACCTAAAACAAAGACCGCATCACACCCTGTCCAACCCTGTCCGTAGTCATCGCGGAGATTTGATCTTCACCCGACGTATTCTTAGAGGAGAGTTGGGGTGGGAATTACAGGAATTCTTTCATCTCAACACAGAGAGTTCAACAAGGGGCCACAGTTTGAAACTGGTCAAACCGAGGAGTGATTGAGTGCGATCCAGCCTGGCTTTATACACTCGCGTTGTGGATGACTGGAACCGCCTTCCGGAGTTCATGGTCGTTGCCGAGACCGAGGAACGTTTCAAGCATTTATTGGACTCTCATTTTAGTTTACGGGGATCCGGCTGTTTCCAATGCAGCTTCAGTGCTTCTCTGTGGGACCTTGTTCCGCAATGACGCTGGCTATCTCCGAAACGAACGGGAAGTGACGGAGCTGACAAAGAAACTTCCTTCTGCTCTCTATCATCCAATGATCCAATGATCCAATGAATTAATGCCCACGTATCCTGCCCTAGCAGTCCCTGCAGGGTCGGTTACGTGAAGTAAGAAAAAAAGTAACTCAGAAGGCAAAAGAGAAAGCGGAAAGAGCTAAGCAAGTGGAATACAAAGATATTTGAGTCAATAAAAAAGAACTGAAAAGTGAAGGTGAGTCAGCTAGGAAAAAGGAAAGGTTTGCTGTTGCCACCCAAGAGCATCGAGCTGGCGCGCAAAACCCTTAACCGTATGTTCCCTAACCACGTGATCTGGAAGCGAATTCCAGCGATCTATAACTCGGCGCGATAGACGAGTTTCCATCCTAATCCTATCAGACCGTGGTTTATGCAGTTTCAGTGGGTGACCGCGGAGACTAGGTAACGTAGCGGGACTAAATAGCCCTGACAAGTCCGGGCCAATCATACCCGTCAAAATACGATAAGTGAGAAGCAGGTCCCCTCTTATCCTTCGGTAGTGCATGGAATACATACCCAAACTGAGCAAGCGTTCAGGATACGTCTGTCCCCGTAGACCATGCAATAACCGAGTGCCCACTCGTAACACCTTCTCCAAGTCCATTTTGTCTCGGTTAAGACATGGTGGACAAGCCTGAATACAATATTCCAGGTGGGGTCGGACGAATGCCGAAAATAGCTTCACAAACAAATTGGCCGTTAAGATTCCGAAAGAGCGGCGGATAAACCACATCATACGAAACCCTCGACAAGCAGCTCTCTTCCAGTTGTCTCCAGAATGAAGTGCTGATGCCTGTACGACTCCTAAATCAACCTGCTGAGTGACAACAGGGAGTTTACCACCGCCGACAACATATCAGTTGGGATGACTTGTAGCTCCGATTCGGAGAACATAGCACTTGACCCTATTTATGGACAACAACCATAAGGTATGCCATTTCCAGCGCCTATGCAAGGCACACTGAATTGCCTCAAGACCCCGGGGATATCCACAATATTCCAGAGCTTAACGTCGTCAGCAAACATGAGTGATGACAACCCTAGCTCCCCCGGCAAGTCATTTACATAGATCGCGAACAACAATGGCCCCATTACCGAGCCCTGCGGGACGCCACTAAGGACAGCTTGCCTGAGCGAAAGGCCACGCCCCACCCGTACGCACTGTTCCCTCCCCTAAAGGAAGGCAGGCACCCATTGAAGGGCGCGACCAGATATCCCGTAAGACCTCAACTTTAGTGAGAGCCGAAGATGTGGAACAGTGTCAAAAGCTTTCGAAAAATCTACGAATAGCACGTCTACAGCGTGGCCATTGTTTACAGCTTCGGCTCAGCTTTCACGAGCTACAAGTAAATTAGTCTGACATGAAAATCCTTTGCGGAATCCATGTTGTGCAACACTGAGAAGTTTGAAACGATTCAGGTGGTTCTCCACTGAATCCCTTATCAGCTTTTCAAACAACTTGACTACTACGCTTGTTAAACTGACAGACCGGTAGTTCGCGGGTAAAGCGCTGTCACCGCCCTTAAAAATCGGACAGATGATTGCCTCCTTCCATTCCGAAGGTAGGCTGCAGCTGTCCAGCGATATTGAAAACACGCATGTAGGAGGACCATTCAGCTCAGTGGCCAGTTCATGCAACAGCTTCGGATGAACTGAATCAGGACCGGAAGCTTAGAGGGATTAATGCCTTGCAGTAGCTCGAAGACCTGAGTCTCCGTTATGCTAAATTCAGCTAAGCAAGAATCCTCTGGAACTCTTGAAACCAATTCAACCTGTGGTAAAGAGGTCTCCTGAGCAAAGACCCCAGTATACTGATCACTAAGTATACAAGCCTTGTCATAGTCAGTTTGCGCACGGGTCCCATCTGCTCGCAATGAAGCTGGTATAGACAGTTTTGACCCGCTGCGTCTTTTAACGTAAGCAAAAAGCTTCTTGGAATTAACTGCGGCCGAGTCCGCTAAACCCTGCTCGTATTGGAGACGAGCAATTCTGAGATGTTGCTTGCATTTATTGCTAATCTCTCGATAACTATCATAGGTACTTGGTAGATTCGTCAGCGTCTAGACCGTTCCTTGAGTAGGTACTTGCCTGTGGTATCTATCCATGGAGGCTGTGCCCTTAACCCTCTTTTCCTCATGGGTGGAACATTGGGAGTGGAAACCTCCGTAAGGTATGCCTTAAATTTATCCCAGGCTAACTGGACAGAGTCAGCCATCGAGACCTCACAGTTCAGAACTGAAGATGGTATTTGGTTGTCCATATACCTAGTGGGAAAGTCAACGAACTGGTGCAAAGGCACTTGGAGAGTCAGTTCAAGGAAGTCTGCACCGAATGTTCCTAATGCCGAATTGCAAGAAAGATCGGCCCAACAGACTTCCGGGAGGTTGAAATCCCCTAGAACTAAACACTTATTCGCAGACTGAGTGCGAATAAATTCAAGTATCCCCCTGGAAGTACTTCCAGGACTTCTGTACACCACTATACCCGTAAACTGGGTAGAGGAAGTGCACAAAACAGCCGATAGGGCTTCAACAGTCTGATCCGACGACTGGAATGCGCAGGTCCTCAACACATCTAAGTTACAGCTCACATACAATACTACACCACCGCCGTGGCGACCAACGGAGCGATCAGTTCTAAGCAGCGCGTGACCAAGTAAATATGCCTCACCGTCCGTGACATCCGGAGACAACCACGTCTCAGTGAAAGCAAGTATGTCGGGACGAGATTTGTTTACAAGTAGACCCAGCTCGTGCACCTTGTTCCTTAGGCTACGCACGTTGCTAAGTACTACCTCAAGGAAGTTGGCACGACCATCCCTGGGTCGTGCGCCATCAGGATGGGTTCTGATAGTGCGGAAAATAACTTCCGGCTGACCACCTGATAACCCACCAGACGGAGGCCTTGCTCACCAGACGCCCGTCTAGTTTTGAAGTCTTTGATAGCCTCCTTTAACTTCAATCTATCTGGCAGTGGGATTGGAACGATACGATGAAGCCCCTAAGTGTTCCTTCGTGAGCGCCTCGTTGATATAGGAGTTGATAGGGGTGCTCCGACTTCCCATTGAATCTGGAAGGAAAGCACCTTAATAAACACCCTGGTCCAACAATTTGATTCCCACGTTCTTCCCAGTAGCTGTCCCTGCTATGCTTTACATGAGAGTAAAGACGGAGAGGCGAGAGAGGAAGAAAAACGAAGGTATAGACTGAGAAATCAGTTAAAAGAGGAAAATACCAATTGTCAGGGAAAGTACAGAAAACAGCATCAAAGTACGACGATGGAAGTTACTTAGGAAAAAGGAAAAGTTTCGTGTTACCACGCAAGAGCATCTAGTTGACTCTCAAACCCCTTAACCGTGGCTCTCTTGACAACACTTACTAGAAGCGAGTTCTAACGCTTCATGACTCTACGCAATAACCGTGGCTCTGCACTAAATCCATCGGACAGCAGTTTGTGCAGCTTCACACGAAGGCCGCGCAGACAAGGTACTATAGCGGGATAAATAGCAAAACCGAATCGGGGCCAATACTCCAAGTCAAAGTACGGCAGCTTAGAATTAGGTCCCCTCCATTTATTCCATATTGCATTGAATACCTCCCCAAATTAAGTAGGGGTTAGGGTAGGTTTGCCCTCGTAAGTCCTAGACCAAACTAGTACGGACAAGCGACACCTTTCTACCGCCATTTTTCCAGAACAAAGTGTGGTGGACAGTCCTGGACGCAATATTCTAAGTGGGGTCACACGAATGCCGAGAACAACCTCGCAAACATCAGCCTTTAAGGTCCCTAAATAACAACGGATAAACCACAATATCCGAAACACTTTACTTACCGTCTTCGTCCAGTTGTCTCCAGAGTGTAGAGTGGAACAGTGGACGCCACATAAATTAACCTGATGAATCACGCGAGGAAGCTCACTTCCATCCATCATATGACTTGTGGAGGAACCAGGCGCTCCGATTCGCAGCACTGAACACTGCCCGGTTTATGAGCAAAAATCACAAAGCAGACCATGCCCAGAGTGTATCTAGAGCCCGTTGAAGAGCCGCAGGACCCCAGGGACACCAACGGTGTTCCATAGCTTTAGGTCTTCATCAAATAAGATCGACGGTATCTCAAGATCCCCGGAAAGTCATTCACGTAGACAGCGAACAGCAGCGGACCTAGGACAAAGACTTGTGGAACGCCGCTATGGACAACTTAGCTAAATGAAAGCCTACCGCCCATCCAAAAAAGTTGACACGCAGTGGAGAGCGCGACAAGATATTCCATAAGACCTCAACTTCGGTGCCTGTCGCCAATGGGGGACATTGTCAATGGTCTTGGCAAAGTAAATGAACAACTCGTCCACTGCATGTCTATTGTCTACGGCTCCAGCCTAGCTCTCACGGGCCATCAGCAAGTCCGTTTAGGACGATAATCCTTTACGAAAACCATTTTGCGTGATGCTAACCGGTTTAAAGCTATTCAACTGTTTCGCCATTGTAGCTATTCCTATTGTTCAGGTAATTTAACGAGCATGCTGGTCAGACTGACATGCCTGTAATTAGCTGTTAGGTCTTTGTCACCGCACTTGAAAGTGGGCAGATAACAGCACCTTTCCATTCGGTACGGTAGACACAGCTGTTGGGTGACTTCTGAAACACATTAGTCAGAGGTACACTGAAATCCACCATGGGATAATGGACGATGTTATGGCCGACATACGCGCGGTTCATCAGTTAAATTATTAGGGTGGTGACCACCCAGCGCAATACAGCAAACATGTGCTGTAACTTGCTATAAAAGTGCTGTGAGTGCAATATTCGGCTGCGGAAAGTGCTACGCCAGGGACAATGACAAGTTAGCCGGCAATACTAGAAAGTACTTTATTTTAGTCTTGCATATTTTATTAGCGGGTTGATTGTGCGCTATATACCCGGTATGAGACTGGACGGCCAACCAAAGGCAATGGGCAGAACACACCAAAGGTAAGCTAGGGAAAAAATTTATTGCACGGGAGGAGAGTTAGATAATGTTAACAAAAAGTCAGCAGAAGTGGGCTAGCTAGAGAGGCTGTAGTGTATGTCGAGCGCATGGACGGAGCGTCGTTCGCAGTCGAGTAGCGCGCCAAAGACGGATATCGTGTTCGTGTTCCACGTCGTCTGAACCTGAAGGCTCGTCGTTCGGAAAGTGCTCGTCGTGTGTAACCAGGCGATCGTTCCGGCTGTAAACACGGCAGTGCATCACGAATAGGCACCGAAATTCCTTTCGAGACAAGTTCTATCAGAATAAGGGGGCTGTTGCGTCGTCTCCAACTCTTGTTTGACGATCACTGCGATTCCTGTTTGGTTTCCAGCGGAACTGGATGTGCTGGCATCTGAATCGTCTTGTCTGGCAATTGTGATGACGTCCCATTTCTGGATGTAATTCATGAACATTTTCGGTGCACAGCTGATAATCATGCCGCAATCGGACAGAAACACTTGGATATCGGAGTTGGCCAGTTCCAACACCGTGGCATCCATGCGAAATGGTCCGCAGTCTTGTATGAAGGCGGTGAGAAACAAATATTGACTGGCTTCCTGGGGTTGGCGCGACATCATGCGTTGGTTGTTGCACAAAGCCAATTTCCATGCCAGCCTTAGCAACGATAGATGCGTGGAATGGGATCGAACAGATGATGCCCTGTTTGAGGACCGTGAGCCAATTGCAGCCACTTTCCTGTGCACCAACAAAGCTGCGTATGGCCGGATCGGTGAATCAAAATGAGTAAACAAGGGCACACTTAAACCGCAATGCCAAGTGTACTGGAAGAAAGCCTCCGGGTCGTATCGCGCAGACTTAGCAGAAAGTGATTTAGTCTGCAACAACGCTTCCAGACTGACTTAAGTGGCCATCTTCATTCGGAGGTTGATGAGGTAAAACAAAGCGTCCATTACCGTTTTGCATTCTTTGTCGCTGCATCCGGTTTCTATAAGTATATCCTTATGAGGATATAAATGGCCGAAATACATCTGGAACTCCCGTCCTGCAGAGTTATCCCAGCGAATGACAAGAGGTTGGCAATCTCCTTGACATGTGCTTTAGAAGACGGATGATGGCGACGGAGAAGTGCACCGAACCAATGGAGTATGGTAATGGCCATGTGCTCCATATATGCCGCTACAGGCGCCTGGCAAATTTCAGAAATGCACCTATTTTGGTTATAGTGACGTATGGAAGTGTCTTTTCTGCTGTACGGTGCTACACCGTCCGTTACGCGCTGCTGTGTTATTCTTATTGCTATATGTGTCCGCTCCGCAGTTTCCCAGTAAGTGTTGGCATTTGTTAACTAAACGTTTATTGCACTTTTACTTTTCATTTATGCAAATAATGTGCGGCATTTCTGCTACAGCCTTCTGCTTACAGCACCTATGCAGATCTATGGCGGATACCAGCAAAAAGCCGAGCTGACAAACACTGCATCTAGTACCCATTGAGTGTCGATAGATGATGTCACCGCAAGCTATAGCTGGAAGGTCGATACAACGTTACCTGCTGTGTGATGCTGCATATGATGACAAGGCAAGTGGCGGGCGCAATAACATTTGCAGGACATACTACTTCTACGCCATCAATAAGTACACCATGTATTCGGTTCTACAAATGAACCTACTCCTTCTTCCAAGCACAATTATGGACATGCTCATTAACACAAGGCGTTCGGACACCGGATGCACAGAGATTTTGAACATGCCGTTCAATGCGTAAGGTTTTAAGACCTGTGAGCTCAGATTACTTACGTTGACCAAGTGCGGGAGAACATAAGTTTACATACGATAGCATATCCCTTTGCTAACCTAGCTTGCTTTTTAGGGCTCTTGTCGCACAGCGAATGCAGGAAGCTATAGAGCCGTTCGCCTTTGTACATAAATGTAAACTATAATACACCTTGTTTTAACAAGCGGCCAATTGTTCCGTAAGTTTCGGTGGTGTAGGTTTAGTTATTTACTCGCGGATTATGCTTCCATACTGCCGTCTGCAATCTACTGACCACCGGGACTTATCCTGCGATGAATTATCATTACGTTGGGTGCTTTTACGTTAGGTGTCTTTGTGGTAGCTAGTGCCAAGTACAGTGCTTATTACTTGGTCCTGATTGGGCAATCCGTTTCCCGGGTACACATAAAGGTGGCTTGCGGGGGTATACTACCCGATCGTACGTGCGAAACCCGTGGTTGTTTGCGGCCAACGGGAAAGCTTCCTGGAGGTCACGTAGGTGCGGCCTGACATTGGTGAATTGGTCATTTGAACTTGAAGGAGCAACGGCTGTAACTCGGACCCAAATGCTATACGCCAATCAGCCCTTTTACAGCCTTTTCACTTAGGCTGTACTGATAGCACTTCTCTGCAAAAATGCTGTAAGCTGTCTGTGCTGAGCTAGATAGGTGCTGAGATAAGCGTATCGTGGTGGTAGGGTGACGGATTGCCAGCTAGAATCTCTGCAGGAAGGCTAGGCTGCATGCAAACATCGTTCTTGCACTTTACGCTAGTTAAGAATAGAAACCAAGATTATATATCTAGCTTCCTGTGTCCATTTGTTAGCCCTTATTAATTATAAAAATCGTTACTAATACCCAGCTACCTCCCTTTCCTTTCCAAGTCACCCTTCCTGCCAAACCGTAGCGCACTTAGACCGCACCCACACACATACATTTGGCACTACTAAGTGCGTCTGCTCTAACACCTTTCATTATACGGACACCTAAGGCTTGGCTTTCTATGGATAAGTACACATTCAGCGTCAAATATAATCACCTGTTGATGGGTATATATTAAACAGTACATTTTTCACCGAGTACTGATATAACCTTTCCACACCGCTTCGGAATAAAACAACTTAACTACGCATTTATCCAAGGAACAGCGGAGTCAGCAGTCCAGACGGACGAGAGTGGGCACGAAGGCAACAAGTCGAAACAATGTTCGTCAGGCGGAGAACTGCAGTAAAATTTGACGAGGCAGCTGCGTATATTCAATAAAACGCTCTAACTTTTGGTTGTTGGTACGAAAATAAATAAACGAAGTCTTTTACAAGCACGATTCCGTACACTAATTTGGGTCAGAGATAAAAAGTAAATATTTTTATATATTTCAGTAAACTACTGACAAATTGGTCATATTATGGTAAATTGTTACAAACTAGTTTGCATGTATTGCAAGTTGTATTACAAAACAGCATGCACCAAAATTTAAGGCTGCCCAGTAGTAGCAGACCTGACAGGGCACTTTAGTGATGGTGGCGTTTGCAGATTGGTTGGACTGAAGTGAAACCAGTGGCCTCTAGAATCCGTCATTCTAGTCTGGTGAATCTTTAAAATTATGTTTTAGTGTGCTAAATGCCTATCAACCGCTCGCCGCCGATTCGAAGGCACGTAAATACGGTTAACGAAATGCTGCATATGTATGTTACTTATCCAAAAATATCAACCCCAGTGTGTCCCATATTGCATAGTGCGCACATTGTAATGCTACAAGTCAAATTTAGGTAGCCTGTTTTCTTGGATACTGTATGTAACTAATTCGCATTCTTAGAAGTCCGTTTGAGACATTTGATTTCCGCAACTTAAATCCTAAAAGCTATGTATTTTGACAACCTTATCGGTACGAGCGTCCGATAAGAGCCCGAGGGTCCACTTTTAAGCGTCTTATCGGTATTCTCTCTAGATGTTGTTAGACGCGAAACAGATCACAGATAAATGTACAGCAGAACGGTTTTGAAATGCATGCAACCTCGTGCCCACTCAAGCAGCTGTGCACGCTGGGTTGCAAACGTTCCAATACTCAACTAGCGTTATTATGCGTCTACGTATCGATGGTAAAACATCAACGTGTATAATGCATGCAGCTATATTTGCCTTACACATGCGCAAAGCTAACGCAATATTAGTAAGCAACGTAGAAGTTATTCACCTTAAGGTATAAAATATAAGCACACTGTTTCTGAGCCAATTTATTAAAAATACCTGCCGTCCACTGATTGCCTCTTCCTGGACTACTTAATTAGTCTCCTATTGTGCCGACAGTAGTGCATCGGAATTTTAATGTGGAACGCATTATTAATGTGGTGAGAAAAGAAACGCTGGGTTTGTGAGTTTCATAGCAGTTGATGCATCATCGCAACCACATTTAAGGGCCTTCTTTAACAGCGAATATTTTGTAAAATCATAAAAAACTTATGCAGAATTATGGTACCTATGGATTATCACTTTGTCCAAACATATGGACTGCGAACGCTCCCATTGAAGCGTACGTTTGGCCACTGGCGGAACATCAAAAGGCGATGAAGTAACTGGCTTTATATGTCCATGGATGTTGTTAGCTAATGGTCTAAATCATTACCGGTGCCATTTATTGCATGAAAAGCTTACTTTGTAACCGTACTTTCTGTCAGCGCAAGTGATCTTTAGAGCATCATGCCAGACGAATAATTCGGCACTGTTGTAGTAGGTACTTACAAGTCTGTAATCGATTTTCGCGTACCCTTGACGGAATATGCATCCGGCCCGCGCGAGCAGCAAGAGCCTGTGCCCTAGTGTGAGTGTTGTAACCCTAAATGACCAATCTTTTAGCCACTAGCAGCTTAAACGTACACCTTATGGACGACATTTTGGTCACTCAAAATATTTTCCAACGCGCCCTAAAATTCAAAAATGAAACTTTAAATGTTAAAAGATCGTGAACCTGAAGCGGGAAATTACCTACTAATTGTAAGTAAGCAATGCAGTAGGCGTAAGGCCCAACCCTGAATGATTTTGAATAACCAATACTCGACCAAATGTAACTAAACTCGGATGACTTTTAGTCAAGCAGTATGTTATAGCTGTTGCAACCTCACCATATACTTTGAGTGTACCACCGCCGGAGCCTTTTTACTACGAAGACAATCCTCCGAATCAAATGCTATTACAACGCCCTTGGGTCCAATTACATCGGCATTAAACGCGCCACTGCCGGAGCCTGTATAGCACGAGCACCAGCCTTGGAGCCGTGTGCTATTACAACGCGCGTGGGTCCTATTACGTCGGCACCAAATGTGCCGCTAATGTAGCCTTGATACTACGAGCACCAGCCTTGGGGCCGTGTGCTATTGCAACCCACTTGGGTTCTATTACACTGGCAGCAAGCGTTCCGCTAGCCCAGTTAATTGTCACAAATGCTCTAATCCCGAACGAGCGCAGAAACCGCGATAACAACTATGCTTTGTATTTAACAGAAAGTAGCGGGAAAATGTTCAGCGTTGTTCATTATATCCGTGCCTTTGACGCGCATGTCCCATGCATGGTATCATTGCACAAAGTCGTATTCATCGGCCAAAGTATAATAGTAGTGCGAACGAATAGTCTACTGTCAGGCAATTGCATAAGCGTTTTTATCTGAAGAATTTTCTTCCTTCTCAGCGGTTTCATTACTGGGCTGGCTTCCATGTCGACGCTATAATAAGGTGAAAATGGAGGTTAAAATACACAGCATGGCTTACTTGGAACCGCATTCTACACAATCCCTCCCGTTGTGGGTAAATCGACGGCCCCTTTCCGACAGCCTATCGATGAAAGGTAAG